ATCCTGCAAGCCCGGAATCGCTGGCCGACGGAGCCCATCTGCCCGGAGGGGGACTCCTCCCGTGTAAGTGCTTGCGGACGTGGGGGGCTTGGGACGCGGTTTCTCTTTGCCAAGAGATTCCCGGCCGGCGCTGCCCCTGCAAGCAGGTCAGGATGCGGGGCTCTCCTCCCCGCCCGCGCCAAACGAGGCAACCGCTTCTGGTTTAAGCCTCGACCAGCGGCCGCCGGGGAGATTTCTGCAACGCCTACGAAGTCCAACTGCAAGTAATCCCGGCCACATTTGCCTCGTTGAAGAAGAGCTGCGTCGGAGAGGGGTGGGAAGAAGCCTGGGGCTTTTCCGAAAACGAAACGGTGACGGGGTTCCCGACCGCAGGATTATGCCATAGAATCCGAGGGGGGGGGAGAGGGGTTGTTATTGCATATATAGAAGTAAGCCAAGTTACACTTCCTCGGGGGGGGGGGTTGTGGACTTAAATAAGGAAAGGACCTTAATCATAGGGAGATCCCTGCTTCAGAAACGAAACAGAGGGTTGGAGCAGTGAGCAAGCGGCTCCTTGAATGGATGACATTACACCCGAAAGGCATGGGGGTTAGAAGAGCATTCGAGTTTTTGTAGTCAGAAACCATGTGCCGCGGATTGGCACCTTTTAGCCTCTTTTATCACTCTGCTTCTTCCCTAATACTAAGGAATAGTGGGTTCCCGCATCGTCCGGTGTTAGGTAATTATATTATTGCTGTTGGCCTGCTCTCCCCCCCACTCGCACGTTACGTGTATAGCAAGTGTCTCCTCCAAGGAGCTCAAAGTAGGGCCCCTCCCTCTCATTACCCTCACAACAACTCTGTGAGGTAGAGTTTAGGATGAAAGGTCGTGATTGACCTAAAGTGTCAACCAGTGAGCTTCATAGCGAAGTGGCGATTTGAACCCAGGTCTCCCGAGTTCTACTGGCCGGCGAAATAAATGAGCTCAGCGCAGTGATCCGTGGTAGTATCCGCGTTTCAGAAGACGCCTTTTCTCTCTTAAGGAATGGTCCACCTAAGCTTTGTGTGTGTGTGTGTGTGTGTGTGTGTAAATGGCAGCGATGCCCTGCCTAGCACATAGCATTCCCCCCTCGCCCTCGTTCCGCACTTGATTGGGGGGAGGTCGACCAAGGGGCTTCGTGTTTTTTTTTGTTAGCCAGAGAACATCAGGCGAGTAAAAGTGGCCAGGTTTTCAGCTGACGTGAAAGGGCCGACGTGTGTGTTTGCGGGGGTGGGGAATCATAGCGGAGAACACACTTTTTTGACCAACGTTACATGGAAGAGGGAGATGGATGGCCACGAGTAAGTGCCGTGCCCTTTCGGGAGACTTGCCGATGACCGGCGGGGATGGGTGGCGTGCCGATCTTCCGCGCCAATCGCCACCTAAAGCGGGCGCGCAAAGTCCCGCCGCGCGGATTTTCCACCTCGAAGGCGGGCAGCCAAGGATTGATCTGAAACATCGGTTAAGCATCTGGCTTTTTTTTTTCTGCTCCCCCTGGGAGGGGTCGGTCTAGAACCGAAGATCCGCCTGGGCGATTTAGGCAGGCGAAGTCTCCCCGGGTTTAAATTCAGGGGCGGGGTGAAGGGGGTAGGAATGCGCCCTGCCCCCTGGCACGCCTTCGCCCTCCCTCTTGCGCCGGGCGGGCGGGCGGACCCCTGGCGGCACGAGCCGGAGACGCGGCTCTCCCTGGTACCGAGGGGTGTGGTGGAGAGGTACTTTAATATCTAGTATTTAGATCCGTTTGAGAAGCCAGCTGCAGGGCATTCCCTAGTTGAGGGTTCCTTCTGGCTCCTTCGCCTCTCTTAGCCACCTGCGCTGGACATCCCCGTAGGCGGCGACACCTTTCCTTTCCTCCTCCCTCTTTTGGGACGCACCGCTCCCACCCATCCAGCAACACCCCCCCCAACCCCCGGCTGCGGGCGTCCAGCCTCTTTCCAGGACAGCTCGGTGCCCCCCAGCGCTGCGGATTGATCGCTTTCCCCACCCTTCCGTTTCTAGGATTACAGCTACACTTGCCCCACCCGGGAGCAAGGCAACATCTACAAACCCAACAACAAGGTCATGGCCGATGAAGTGAACGAGGAGTACCGCGATGCCCACACCAAGGAAATCGACCTGGTCAATCGGGACCCCACGCATCTCAACGACGACGTGGTCAAGGTAGGAAGCTGAAGGGGTCCTCTTTGCAGAGGGAGGTGGGTGGCTGCAGTGTGGGGAGGAGGATAGGAAGCCTTTGATTTCACTTGGGAAGAGATGCTGCTGGGCCTGTGGGAGTTGGGCGAGAGCATGAGCGTGCCTTTGCCGGGATTTATACAGAAATCTGGATGTGTAATTTGGTTTGGTTTGGAATATCAATAAAGACGATGCACAGCACAGCGCAGGGACTCTCCAATGAAATTCACCACTCTGGTGACAAACTTCTTAACCGTTTATTTTCCTTTTCAGCTAGCGTGTTGGGTAATTCCGTTCAGTGCCACATGATTTTTAAACGTGTGGGTGGGTACAGATTGCCTCAACTGAAATAGCCTCCCTAAATATACATGGATGATGTTGCACATTTGTCTCTGTTGGGCGACTTGTAGGACACATGAAAGGCGTGCATCACATTGCAAAGGAAAAGGTTATTTATTTTTGAGTGGAGCTTTTGTTTGAGGATATTTACTGGCTTTTTAGCCAAACTTGTTCAAGTTTTTGGACAACCCCCAGCTGGCACAGAGAGAGTCTGAGAGTTGTGTTCAAAGAAAATATTTCCCCCCTGAGTTCTGCTTTTTAGCATTGTGTTGGGCTCAGTAAACACTGATATGGAAAAAGTAGGTTTGCATTTGCAATTGAACAGCAGCACTATCTTTCAAACTCCATTTGCCCATCCATAAAATAGGAACAGCGTAAGATTTGTGCAGCCTCACAGTTGTTTTCAACTGCAGTCTAGATATAAAACTTCTTAAGGGGAATTTACTTCCACATCACTGCACAAAAATTGCACCCTTTGGTCCACAAAAGATGATGCTGTAATATGTTTGTTTTCAAGGTGCCACAAAACTCTGTTTTTACAATGGAATCCTGATCACACTTAATTAGAAAGTGGGATCCATTAGACATTATGAGACTTACTTTAGCGTATAAAATAGTTAAGACTGGACAGCTAAGCATGAAGAATGAGACAGTGGATGTTAAACTGGCCCTTAACTGTACCAAGCTGCTAATGTAAGAACTGCATTCTGCATGCACGCACAGCCAGAATGCTACGTGGTAATGTACTGTTCCCAAATAAAATCTTTGCAGGTTGTCTGACTAAGTAGGGAAAAAATGCATTTGTGTATTTTTTCATTACGTATAAAGCTGCCCATAAAAGCCTGGCTCCAGAAGGCAAGGCCAGAAGACTTTTACAAAGTAAAAAGAAACCCAAGGCCATAGATCTGGTCTACTCTAGTAAATAGAAGGAGTGAGGTAGGAGCCTCAGGAGGTGGGGAAGGCAGGAAGAAAGTGTTGGTGAACAGGTGTGTGCCATGTGGTATGTCTTGCCCTCCTTGAGCTGTCAGGTTTCCCTTAGCTGCAGTGAAGGGTTCTGTCAGCTGGCCTGTGTTGAAGAAACGTTTCTTGGCTGATACGTTAGATCAGTGGTCCCCAACCTTGGGCCTCCAGATGTTCTTGGACTTCAACTTACAGAAATCCTGGCCAGCAGAGGTGGTGGTGAAGGCTTCTGGGAGTTGTAGTCCAAGAACATCTGGAGGCCCTAAGGTTGAGGACCACTGCGTTAGATGGCCACCATGTTGTCTTTCACCACAGGTAGTAAATGTCTACCACAGGTAGTAAATCATGCCCCAGTTGGACCATGATTTAGATGAAGAATTAAAAGGAAAAGTGTGGAAGTGCAGTTGTTTTATCAAGCTCTGACTGTTAAATACTACAGACCAATGCACTGAAAAACACAGTGTTTTGTTTTGTATGCAAGTACTTACAAATATCACAGGTGGCAGGGGCCACTTTAGAAACTCTGTTCTCCTTTCGGTTACATACAGAAGGGAAAACTAGTTATGAGGCAGCTGAAACAAATTGGGCAATTATGGCATTCCATATGCTGTTGGACTTCAAGTTTGAGCATCTCTTACCGGGGCTGTGTTGGCAAGGCCTGATGGAAGTTATAATCTAACAGCATCTGAAGGGGTGCCAGAGCCCCTCTTCTTGCAAGTAAAACAGCTGTCTTTGTTTCTTTGGAACACCATGGAGTTCGCTTTAGAATAAATATGAATAGGATTGTACTGTAAATCAGGGGTCCCCAACCCCTGGTCCATGACCCGGCACCAGTCTGTGGCCTAGGCAGGACCGGGCCATGGGCACAGATTTCCTCCCCCCCTGCCTGCAAGCACCACCCACACATGCGCACGAGCGCACCACGCTCACCCATGAGCGTGCCATGCCCCTGCAAGTGCACCACGCCCCTCTGCAAGTGTGCTGCACCCCCACACACACACACAGACTTTGCCTCCCCCAACCGGTCTGCAGTTGGGAAAAGTTTGGGGACCACTGCTGTAAATGATTCACACATATGCAATTAGTTATCTAAGATGTCCTTAGAATTCTTTGTCAGCTTCAGCTGAGTTGTGTAGTCAAAACTGTGTCACCAGTGCAAGGTGTTCAGAAATACAAAAGACATGTAGAGGTAGGTGGAATGAAAATGTGCAGTACTTGAAAAACTCCTGTGAAGATGAAGTGTGCTTGGTGGTCACCAGGTGCTGAATACTGGGTGTGGTGTTGGATGGAGGGGGAATGGAATGGACTATCTTAGCATGGCTGTTTAGCTGGACTCCTGGACAGAAACGCTAAGCAGTGCATCATTTTGTCCATCAGTCCCACTGGACTTGAACAAGTTAAATCTGGAATTTGTTTTATGCCGTGCTGTTTGCTTGTTGCTTGCAAAAAGATAGCTTTAGTGATGGACCTGGAAGGACACAAGGAAGCTCTGCCTAAGCCATATGGAGGTAAAAACCAATAAACAAAGCCTGTGTCTTTTTTTCCATCTTTTAAAAAAAAGTATGCCAAAAGAAGGGGAGGAGAACTCATTAAGTGACTTGGCACAAAGGCCTTTCTGGATCTCTTGTAAATTTTGTAAATGTCAGACTTGGTCTATTCCAACAAATCTGGGAAAATGGAAACTACTTATGCAGGCCCATCTAGGTCAGGGGAAGCATGGATGTTGTCCCCTCTTGATAGGGACACATCACATGGCAGATGTGATGGCTAGGGATGGTGGAATCCAAGCTTTCTTGGACCTCAGGAGCTAAGATTTATTGGATCCAGGCTTTCTGCAACTCACTCCTCTTAAAACAGTTGGACACTATGCTGTGCAGCTTGTTGCATGAAAGAAACTTGTGTATAAGTTTCCAATTGCTAGTGGAAGGATGATGGAGGACATTGGTCTATTCTTCTGGTATGACGGAAAGAAGCAGCCTCTTTCTGGAACTTAAGTGACCTTAGGGCAACATGTGGCCTCCATGGCTGTGTTTGTGGCCTCCCAGATTCCCCCACCAAAAGAAGAACACAGTGCACTGACATCTATTGAAGCCTCTACTTGCTGCAGTTTAACTTTGATATAGGCTTCAAGGCTGTCCTCTGTTTAATACCAAAGACTCCCCATTTTGCAAAGGTGGAAGTGAACATCCAGCCATTTCTGCTGTTCTTCCCCCAGGTTTTTAGGCAGACCAAACCTGGATAATCCTGAGACCCACCAGAGTTGACCATCCTCTACTGTAGGGCAGTGGTGAGCAACCACATTTGTGCTTGGTCATTTTGTTTCTCTGTAGTAGTTGATCAGGGCCATCCTAATGGGCCTCCCTGGGTGAAACACTGAGATCTCGCCTGGAAGCAGTGACCCTTAGAGGGGAAAGACTGACCATTCCAACAGGACTTTGCATCAGTCTGTGTTTGGCAGCACTCCTTGCTTTTGTTTTATTATTGAGCAGCTGGGAGGTAGCATAATTTTGTTTGTATGTCTGTTTTCTCAGGCACCATACACTTTTGTCTTGAAGTGTAACCGGACCCTGAATCTCTGGTTGAGTGTAGTCCAGTGCAAACTTGCATCCTAAAGTGTTTTTTTTTTCCTGAAGACGTCACACAGCATATCTTCCCTGAATATTTTAAGGAACAACCCAGGCAACGTTCATTTTCTCTCCTCATTCATCCTGGAATTATTGCTCAGAGGGTCCCCGATTAGTGGCCAGATATGTGTTACCACCGTCTTCTCTGTAGATCGGGCAACAGAACCATAGCTGGAGTTTGGGTGCTCCCATTATACAAGTGAAACTCTAAGGCTTTGTGGCAGAGGTGTAGTTTGAAACTACCTTTGTAATCTGGGGATAGACTGCCTTCCCAATGGTTTTGGATGACAATTCCCATCATCCAGTTTCATGGCTGTGGATGATGGAAGCTACATTCCAAGAACAGCTGGAGGGCCAGATGCCAGTTCTTGCTATAATCCTATACAGGATTGTGTAAACTGTATCGAACACAGAGGGAGTTACTTTTGAGTAAACATATACAAAAATAGGCTATTACTACCGGTATGTGGCACTTTTTACCATTAAGTCAATTCAGACGTGACCTTTTTCAGGATTCTCCTGGTAAAGAATACTCAGAAGTGATTTACCACTCCTATTCTCTGGGGGCGCCCTGGGACTGGGCAGCTTGCCCAGAGGCACACAGGCTGGCTCTTCTTCTCCTCAGAGGCATAGTGGGGAATCGAACTCCCAACCTCTGGCTCCATAATGAGATACCTGAACCATTGAGCTATCCAGCCAGCTTGTCCACAGAATTAAAGTTACCCCCGATTGAACACAGTGCACAAATATTCAGCTTGCATCGATACTATTTTTTTTAAATGATTTTTTTAAAAAATGTGTTGAGAAAATAGGGATGGGAAAAGGAGTGTTCAGAGGGTTAGGAGGAGAACATAGTTTCTTGCTCTTTCTTCAGAGACAGATGATGTTCCCAAAGCAACAAAACTTTCTAAGTGTTACTGAGTTTTCAGGGCTAGAAAAGTTCCCAATAGTTTTAAAAACAAAACATTACTAAGCAGAGAAAGATGAATCCTACTGGGAATAGGGGACCAGTCATTAAGGGTGATGGGTGTGTGGGAAGAACATGTCTTAGAGAAAATATTTGTA